GGAAAGAGCCAGCAAGAAATCCAGAGCCAGCTGTTGCTGCAAAGTTGAAGCCAAAATGCTTTTTTTCCTAGGAATTGTTTTGTTTTATTTTTAAAATGCTGCTTTTTACACTTTTGGTGTACAATTCCTGACGTTACGTGCTCTGAATTACTCGGGGTGGAGTTGCGTTTGGCGCTGCCAGGTGGGCCCGTGCAGCAGAGTTAGTAGCAGAGCGGATTCCCGTTCATGAGGGGGAGCAGGGCTGGGGCCCAAGTGATGGCAGGTGCACTGTGCACGTTTAGAGGTTGTTGCTTTTGGTGCTGCTTTGGGCTTCTCCTTTGCTTGGGCTTCCCCACTTGCAGACAAATGCATTCTAATAGGCAATGGGTACCTCAGTTCTAGTAAAGCTTTTGGGTTTTCTTTGTGTGTTTCTGAAAGTCTGTCTGTGTAAATATAGCTCTGACATACGAGACAGAGAATTTCCTTGGGTCATTCCTGAGTGGGGAATCATCCAAGTGGATTTCCTGTGGGTGGGACAAATGTATAATCCGCTGGAGTCCTCCTTGGCTGCTGCTTTTCTTCGCATTTCTGCGGTTGTGACTCACGATGACTGGTCTGTTATATTAACAGAAAGATACATCTGGGGACTACAGGAAAGCACTCCTGCTCCTCTGTGGTGGAGACGATGACTAACGGTGACAGTGACACGAAGGATTTGTACTCCGGCTTGCAGCCCTTTAGTTAGCATGTCTAGCTAAGTCTTTGTATCCTAACGCTTTGTGGCTGTTTAAATTTATACTAGTATTGCACTTACTATAAATGAGCTTATTGTTATCCAAGTGATAGCTGATCCTTCCTCTTCCTGACATCCCAACTTCCAGGAATTTCAAGTGCCTTCTGTGAGTATGCGAGAGTTGTCTTCATGGAAGATGGGTACTGAGCCCAGAACCCAGTTCTTTGCAAGTGTTTTGCTGAAATAGGAAAAAAAAAAAAACAACATGTATTTTACTAATAATTTGAAGATTATCTTTTTTTGCTTTTATTCCTTACATTTCCACTGAATGTTAAGATAGCTCTAACATCGCAAATGAAGAAAAGTTATCCTTTGTATGTAATTTTTGAATGAATTTGCTGAAGGTGATACAAGCGATCATTGGAAATCTAAAGGACCAATAAATTTTTTTTCCTCTCAGCACAGTTGTATGTGGTTTTTAATGGGTAGAGATCTATTTTTCCCTTTCATATGGTTCCCCTGCATCAAACTGTTGGTATATTTTTCGTAGTGTTACGCAGGCTTCTAAGTATATATGGTGTTTTGCAGCTGTATGTCTTGATGTGTAGTGTAGTATATGGGTGCTGTGGTGCCATATATATTCCGTATATGTATTTGGTACCAATATAGCCGGAACACCAAATTACTGGTGCTTGCTGGGCATTGCATTCTCATTTTGTGCTGCTTTGTCTTTGTCTTCTCCTCCAAAGCTGGGGGAAGGAAGGAAGGAAGATCTGTCTGGACAGTGCCAAAGTAGAGCAGATATGCTGCACTTGTAGGACCAGTCGAAGATTTCTGGGATGGAAGCGGGTGAAGAAGAGACAGGAAGACAGTGATGCGTACTGCAGGGATCTTGGATGGAAAGAGGATGGTGCAGCACCTCTCTCTCATCAGGTTAGCAGGGAGCAAAGCACAGCGCGAGAGCAGCAGTCTCTGACGTGGGCTGCCTTAAATTCACTGCTTTAGTTCGTCGTTTGTGACTGGCTCTGAAAATTAAATTGACGTGTGTGAAGGGAGAATAAAGGGGCTTCTGTTTCCTGCATTATAAGGTCTAAGCACCATGGTTCTAAACTTAGCTTATCGGTTAGTCACATGCATCAGCTGTAGAAACTGCGCATTTTAATAGTCCTCTTGAAATTGATTCTTCACAGATTATTAAGAGCTTTAAAACTTTCGTATCGAATAAAGGTAAGGTTTCAGGGGTTTTTATATTGTAATTCTGATTTACTGTCATGATCTCTTGCTAATAAGTACTTGGTTTCCAATGTAAAATATGAAAGCTCTTTTTATAAGTAAATATCTTAACTAAAGCCTAATCCACTCTAAAACCTTCTTTCTTTTCCATTCTCCCACGCTTATGCACTCTCACTTTCACTCTCTCTTCCCTGCTTCTTTTTGTCCAAATTTAAGACTTACCGACTTAAAACCAGCACAACTGTGTGTGTTTGGAGGTTTTTTTATAATTTAATTTTATTTTATTTTTAAATGAGACCATTAAATGCTTTCCTCTGTTCTTCCTGGACAGTTTACTGAATTCTCCGTGTCATTGCTGTATCTGGGGACAGCCGTGGGTGTGGTTTGCTTCTCTACCATAGTTTAAACTGATCTGAATGGTGCTGCTGTAATCCTGCCCTGCCCTCTTCAGGCTCCGTGTTCCCCCACCTCTCCTAAGTGCTGGCACTGGAGCGCTTCTCACCCTTTGGGTGACCTGCTTCAGGGCCCTGGGCTGGCAGGATCCAACCCCACAGCTCCAGCCTGACACCCTCAGTGACTCACTGGGGCATCTGGTGAGGGCTGCTGGTGGTGGAGCGCAGGGCTAGGAACGTGTGCGGGGTGAGAAGAAATTCAGTGGGAAGGGAGATGGGACTCAAGCTGGGTTGCTCTGGGTTGGTGTCTGCTGTCACGAACTGCACCTGCCGTACAAGAGCCTCACAATATTAGCCCAGGGATTCTTCAAATTGCTTTCTGTAGGTACAGACCCAAATTGAGAAATTTAGGTTGAATGTGAAGTCAAAGGTGGTGCTTGGAATCGGATTGCACGAGTCGCACGACTGTGCCTTAATCGTAACATTTCCACTTCCAGTTGTGGAAGGCCGTGAGGGAGACTGGGGCAGAATCCAGATGTAGAGAAGCTACTTAAACATTAAACCAAATGTACATATAATATATACGAGACTTTATGCATAAAGGCTTAAACACAGTCAGTCTGTATTGTGTTTACCACCTTGTCAGAGGTACATTATAGTGTTTTGGAATATGATCAAATGTTTTCTGAATAACATGATACAACAGTAACAATATTCAAGCAGTAGTATTTTTATTTAGATCTTTAGGTGTTTGGCAGAAGAAGAAATCGTATTATGTGATTGGATTTTGTTTTCTTCTCGGGATGAATTTTCAGCATTTTGTTGGCTTTGCTTTTTGTCAAGTCTTTATAAAATGTATTCACAAGGGGTGTTAATTTGCGATTGGTCATCCTTGAATAACATGGCCAGCTGCACACACAGCGAGTATAGCGTGACTGCTGTCTAGAAATGTGATGACAGAAAGGTGGTTTTTGGTAGGTGGGTGTTTTTTTTTGTTAGTGAGTTAGTATTTGCCAAGGTAAAATCATGCACAAAGTAATTGCTGGTGAGCAGCTATGAAAATGGCTGTCAAAATGGCTGCGTGGGTTCAGATCTGCCTAGAGATAGTGGTCTTCCGTGTTGTATACTTCCTGACTTATGAAAAAATTTGAATAGATGTAGGGGGAAAGACTTTCTTCCCCCAAAAGCTGTGCTGGCTCTTCTGCAATGTATCACACTTAACCGTCCTCACTCCTAGTATTCATTGTTATGGTTTTTATCGATTTGTTCAGTGTGGATGTTGGAACTGCTGCTGTGTAGCTTCAGCCCTCTACAGTCTTTGCTAAGGTGCCACGTTTCCTCCCTTCTACTGCTCTGGAGACGAGACACTATAATTTTTTAGCTTCTTTCAGTTTCTTTAGGATTCTTAGGAAAATAGCGCTGATCTTCATGATTTGTTACTGGTCCTTTTGTAGATTTTGGTGTGTCTTTTCTGTTGACACTTGAAATGTGTCCTTCAGCGTGTGCTGTGTAAAGGCTCCTGCTGTGTCTCCTTCACCAAAGGCAGAAGAATCAGTGATGGTGGGTTCGTGTGTGAAGCGTTCCAGCAAAGGTTGACCGTTGTCACAAACCTGATGGTCATGGCTTAAACTGAATGATCCAAATTTCTGCCAGAATTTATAAATAGCGCCTCTGAACAGGAGTTGTGTTAGGGGTCAGTATAATATCAGTCATCTACTCAAAGTTTTAACGTGCAAGTGGTGCAGAAGCGTTTGAAATTCCCTTTTGAAGTAATTAATCAGAGAAAACAAAGTCTGGCAACCTATGCTTTCTCCAAGAAGTCTAATGAAAATGGAAAGAAGTTTATTGAGTTACAGCATTTTTAGTGTTTTGTATGTAACTGCCCTTTAGGAATATAAAATATAGAATCTCCAGTACAGTGCAACCCTAAGATACCTTGAAACTACAGCTGCCTATGAATTAATTACTTCCTTTGTGGTCATAGTTAACCATTGCTGTGTTTGGTTTTTTGTTTCTCCACTTTCTGATTTTTCATTCATGAAAATTTGTGTCCACTTCATTTCTGGCACAATTCTGAAGTGTCGAGAAGTCCTATCAATCTCTTTGCTAAGTCAAGAGCAAATTGTCACATAAGCACTAAAATCAACCCTCTTACCTGTGAAGAATCTGTTTTAAAGCAAACTTCAAGAAATCAAGTATTGTTGGTTTTGCCTCAAGAGCCTCCTCTCCCTCCGCCTTTGTCTGTCCTGTGTGTGTCCCTGAAGTGTTTTAGGAGCTACTATTTTACTGCTAGAAAGATACTCTTTATTTGTTTTCATCACAAAGTGTTTGCTTAGCGCTATTACATACGGTGTGTTGGACAAAAAGAAGTGGCATTTACTGGCTTATTTACTTGATTTTTTGTTCCCTCAATTTTTTGTTGATGCACCATATACAAATATAATTTTGTTTTATTTGGATTCATGACAAGCGCTTGTTAAACTAAATCTAGCTGCTTATTTTCTTGTTAGATAATCCAACCATTTAGAGAAAATATTCTGGTTGAGGCCTTTAAATCTAAAAATCTAAAATAGGAAAAGACTTGTGCTGAAGCATCAAGTTAATTTTAAGACTTGAGCAGGATTTTGTGGGCATGTATCGCTGGATCGCCTGATGTGGTGCTGTTCATGTTGCTGCTTTATCTAATTTCAACTCTATGACAGCTGGAATTGCTGTGGGCACTTATTTACTCAAATCTCTCTTGAAAGCAGTAATTTATGAATAAGGCAGTACTATGGGTGCAAAGCCTAAGCAATAATCTCGTCTTTCCTCCTTTTTGGTTTAGTGTACAATACATCTAAAAGCCAGCGAAGTACGTCCAGTGGATTGGTGAGCGAGTCATTTCACTGACGAGTGTGGATGGTAGCTTTTGCGTTCGCTGTAGGTGGTTTTGGCATCCTTCAGAAATGCAGCTTGATGGCGTTCAAAGCTGCTGTTTTCTTCCCCTTCCCCTGAGCTGGGGAGAGGTGGGGCTGCTGGACCAGTGACAGGGTACAAACATCTTCATCTCAGCCTTGTTGGAGAGTGGCTGAATATGGAGGAATGAGGTTAGACCAGTCCTGAACCAATTCAGGTGCTGGTTTCTCTGCTGAAGCTGTTGATAGAGATGCTGGCTTTGAGGATGATTTTTGTCTTGTCAGACGTATAATAAAGTGCCTCAGAAATGGAGCCGAGCTTGATTAGTTTCTCTCTTGCCATTTCATCACTGTGACCATAGCCATATGTTTGTCTGTTCTTTAGAGAAATTAATTACTCTTCATGTAAATCCCTGCTCCAATGCCTAGGACAGGCAGCACATGCAGGCTCTTACCTTCCTCCCTTCAAGGAGAGGGGAGGTGACTGGTGCAGAACATGTAGCTGCACTGGATTGCTTTCATCAGAAATAGTAACTTTCTCCTCTGAAACAAATCCTTTCTGTGATTTGCAAGTTTCAAATGAGA